AATAATAAAGAAGAAGAAGAAGAGGATGAAGAATACCATGTACTGATGAGTGTCTTTAAGAAGAAGAGAACAGCTTTATAGACTTGTCTTTTGTTTGGTAAAGGGGATAAAGTAAAAGAATGAGAGGTAAACAACTTCTAATAAATAATTTTTTTTTAAAAACGCCACTGCTCGAGTGGATTTCCCTTTCCTATAGTGGTTTGCTTACATACCTAAAATTAAACTGGTTAACTGGTTTAACCTCTGTATATGACTTCGCATGTGACCTTCAAGTGCTGTAGTTTTTTTTTAGAGGAATTTTCCACAAACAGATCACTTGTGGTCTGTTAGACCAGTGTCGATGTCAGGATTTGACTGTCCTGATTATTTGGTTGCCTCTACTTTACAGACTTGGTTTTTCTCAAAAGCCTTGCTGCCACATGTCAACGGTCACGGAATTAACTTATTGGTTCATTTGAACCCAGCCCTCTGAAGCCTTCTATGACCCCCCCCCTTCCCCCGGAAAGAAGACATTGTCTCATGTGTGGGCACTGTCAACGTAACAAAATCATGTAACGGTTTATGCAAACAGCTAGGAAATTGGCTGCAACTAACATAATTTCTAAGGCTTGACAAAAGTGGTTTGACGCTTACAATGGTAGCCGAAAAATCATTATCACAGTCATGGTATTAATCATAACAAGAGGTTCTGGTGGTCGAATGGTCTGTGTGTTTTGACTCAGAATAATATCAAGTGCTTTATGTCAGTGTCACAGTGTTAATGTGGGTCGTCACACTGTTGTCTCCTTGGGAAAGGCGCAATAATAACCTTTGCTCAAAAACAGGGTACTGCACCGTGGCGATCACCAATGGCTAGTTAACTGTTTGATGATGTATTTATTGTGCACTTTATAATCAAAGTAAGTGGAGTAATTAGAGGACGGGCAAGCAAGATATAGTTTAATATACAGCATTTCATAAAGATAGGACATCTGACCAGTGTAATGGCAGTAGACAAAAGAAAAAAGATAATCTTAGTAAAAAGACAGAGCACTACAAAGTACTGACTAGTAATGGCATGTTTGTTCAATCGTTTTTACTTGCATTCCAACGCGGTGGAATCAGGAGCTCGTCAGTTTTAGGGCAGGTGGGGTTACGGGTATAATCTTAAAGCTTGTTCATTTGCCATGGTTTCGATGAAAAAAAATACCGAGATATTCGCCGTTGAGTGAGGCGGGTGACGCCTGGTTTCCGTGGTAAAATACAAGAAAACAATGGCGGCCTGTAGCTTGAGAGGCTTTCGAAACTGGGATTTAAATTTTTGAAGCCTTTAATCGATGATTTTTAGTAAAACCCACGCATAAATGTATTATTGACGTAAAAGGTGTTGAGAAAAAAAAATACTGGTGATACTGGTGTAAGCACTGAATTCTCGGAAATATGCACTGCATGAGTGCTGTACTAGCGTGGGTAGCAATACAAGTGATATTCATTAAAGTAGTATGATTGCAATTTTGTTACCTTATTTTGCTTTTTAAGGAGGGGGGGGGGGTACACCTCGAAAGTCCTGATTCAGATCAAAACTATGGCATTTTTAGCTTCTTCAGCCTCTCTTACAACTATTTCATCGCATAAGAACCCCGTTAAGCCTTATTTCTTCCCATACTGGACATGTTTGACACCACCATTGTCTCAGAAAGTCAATCTTTTATTTGTCTTTATCGCCCGTTTTCTCGAAACGTGTTTTTCCAATACACTTAAAAAAAATAACTGTACCACTTTTCATTCAATCTTTATGAAATTTTCACAGAATGAAGAAAAGATGTAATACTAAAAATTAGTGTCATGAATTTTTGATACAGGGAATATTTTTTTGTTGGTGGTGTTTGGAGTGTGGATTTTCACGGATTTTTTTGCAAATGTGAATACTGCCTCAGGAAAAAAAAATCATTAAAAATTTTCAAGAACGTTTAGGAAAAAATCATCACACAGATTTGTAGATTCCTTGTTTGCCAAGATGCATGCCTGCAACAACAAAAAAAAACCCACAAAAAAAACCCAAACAATTTTTTTCCATGAAAAATAAGTGCGGTATTACTTACGTAAGACATATTAACAAAATTCAATATGGCCGCTGTATCCTTGGAAACGGAACTTTTTTTCTCATCTCAAATTTGATTGCGGATTTTAAGACTCCTTACTATGCTTGTTATATGCGTGAAATTTGGTAACATCTGATAAACTAATAAGCGAGATAGCCTTCAGCTGGAGCCCCATCCCCCTCCCCACCTCATAAACTGCTCATAAAACACACAAGCAGATAATTAGAGAACGACAACTGAACGCTAATGGCCGATATTTATAGTAACAGCCATCTTGTTTGACGTCATTGGGGGATTCCCACATTGCTGTCATTCATGGTGGCAACACGACCGCACGACGGTAGCTTCCTCTCACTCACTAGATCTAGATCTATAGTGCGGTCAAAAGTTCGTGGTGCAACTTATCCTCAAATATCTCT